CCCACTAATCAAGCCCATAACAGCTTTTAAAAACACCAATAAAAAAACTAATTGCAAACAGGATTTGATTCAAGTTTCCGGCTACAGTATTATAAATTATATTAGATTTTAATATATTCAAATTATATAATTGTATTCTTTTATAATATATATTTTTATTTTAATTTCAATTTCTTTATAAGGCACCTATATAATTACCCAAAATAATCTCCATTCCTTGCGTGCAACTTCCATATGCAGAGATGAGCTTCTTGATTTCCTTTCCATATGTCCTCTCCTCCCTTGCTTCTTCAGCTCTTATGGTTGGTGGGGCGTTTAGAAAGATTGCCAAGCTGGATTACTATTCGCTCCATAGCCTAGTCTACATATAGGTTAATTTGCAGTCTTCTATGTTAAGAGATGATCCCATTAGAATGCTTCAGTCACTGCCTAATCTAATGAAGCTCTTTCTCAGTCGAACATATGATGCAGAGAGGTTAGCGTAGTCAAAGCTCTCACATTAGAATGCTTCAGTCACTGCCCAAATGGGATGGATGGTACTAGATCACACAAGGTTAGCGTAGTCAAAGCTCTCACATTAGGAAGTGATACACAAACCATCACGCCAAGTAGAATTATAAGGTTTGTTTGATTCATCTCTCAAAAGGAATTTCATTTAGTTTCTCTAATTTTTAATTTTATGTTTAAAATAATCCCTCTTGTAGTAGTTAATATTTTATATAACACTTTCGGGAAACAACTTAGTTCCACTGTTTTGTAACTAATTAATGTTTTAATAGATATCAATTAATAAACGTTAAGAAATTTACCATGGATTTTAGATATTAGAATTAAGGCTTAAAATGGTATCTATTTTTCTTAATCCAATTTGAATTTGATCCCACTAAGGGAAATCTGAATTCGATATATTTGTTCTTTACTTTTCAATTTAATAGATACTTTGCCTTCTTCAAATTGTATATGGCATTAAAAAGAGTGGAGTGAAACAGGATTCATGTAATCGATCCTGTATAATTGGGATGAGGCTTGAGGCTTGAACGATAATGACGTTCCAGATTTATTTAAAAACTTTATTGTATCTATTGATAAAATTAGCTTGAATGACTCAAAAAAAGAAAAAAAAAAGGGGGGGGAGGTTTGAATATTCTATTTTTATTAAAGAGCTATATGTTCAGTTTTATACAAGTTACTTTCAGAGAGTTAGCCTCCCACTTTCTCTCCTTTCAATTAATCATATTTATAAGGAAGCTTAATAGGCCCATAGATTTTTCTAGAGAAACAAGGTACTGATTTGGATCATTTCACCACTTTCAACAATGTTTCTCAGCTGCCAAGTCAAGGTGCTAGAGATTAGTTTATGAAGATTTTTTGGATCTTCCACTTTTGGGGATTAGCTAATGGTAATGTGTTTCTTGTATGGGGGCATTCTTTTTTTTTGGATCTTCCCTTGTTTCTTTCAATCCCATTTTTAATAATAATTAATAAAACTTTAAGAGGGCATTCTTTTTTTATGGATTTGGAGAAGGGGAAAAGTTGGACAATGGGATTTTGGTTCCCATTGACCAAAAATCTCATGCTCTTTTTTCAGCTTTATGTGGGGATTAGGGAAAGTTTATCTTCAATGTGATAACCATCTCCTAGGTGGGTAAATAACTTTCCCACATAGGGGGAAAGTTGCCAATACTTGAATGGGATAAAAGTGTCCATTTTAATAATGGATTTCTATGGATAAAATGGTCATTGCCTTATTTACCTGAGATAAGTGTTTATCAGGAAAAACTTACCCAGGTAATTGCATCTACCCAAGTAAGTAACTTACCGAAAAGTGAACGGGGCATAAGGTATTTAGCCCTCCCTGGAGTAAATTTTGGGACTTCAAACGAAAAATGTTATTTTCAATGCAATTGTTCATGATATTAAAGCCATTTTTATTTCATCTTATGAATAATATATAACATTTTGGAATTTTTTTAGTTTAATCTATTAATGCTATTAAACATTCAATTGCAATCCAAATTCAAATTAAATTTGACATAAATCCTACTGATGAAAATCCATATGAATCTGGATCTAGGAATTTCTGATTCAATGAGATCCATTTGCAGTCCTAATTGGAATTTTTTCCTACTCGCAATAACCCTCTCTCTCTCTCTCTCCCTCTCTCTCTCTCTCTTCTCTTCTCTTTCTCTCTCTCTTCTCTTTCTCACAACACGTCTTCTCCTTCCCTCTTCTTTTCAGTCACGCGAGCTGTTTCCCTCTTTTGCTGCTCTCCCTAGAAAGCCTCATCAACATGTGCTCCTGAGTGAAGGCAACCAAGTCTTTGGAAAGTAGTTCTCAAGACAACGGAGTTGCTGGCTAGCACCATGGGTAGGGGTATGTCTCACATGGAAATCATTGTAAGAGCCTCATCATGCCTTGTGGATTTTGGCAAACTTTAACTAAGTCCCAGAAAAACGAAATCAAATCTGATCAGAACTTGTAAAATCATTTCTCTCGGTCAAACCATTGGATTGAGTTGAAATTTGTATATTTTGAAGTTTAAGAAGTATAGAGGAGACCCTCCAAATAAGGAGAGGTCTCTTGTTATTGCTTTAAAAGGCATTAGAGGTGTATTCCTGGAAACACGCCTCCAGGTGAGGCGCTAAGAAAACACTAAGAGTTGCATAGTAGAGGCATACACCTATGTTGTTGATCAGTTGACCACAGACCTAACTTTGTCCACTAATGGCCATTCTTACTTCAAATTACCTAGCTCTACTATGTTGTTGGCCACCAGATTCATAAATTGATCGAATTCATTGAGGGTTTCTAACCACAATTCAGTTTGCATTCAGCTCAACAAAAAGCCTCTTGTCCCTATAAGCATCCACAGGCTGATATGACCTTATCATTTTTCCCCAGGAAATCCTAGGACCAAAGATCCAATATTGAGGCTCCATCTCTCACCAATTGATTCAGCTACATATCTTACATTCTCACTCAAAGATTTAATGTTGAGGCTTGATCTCTTATTCCTGTTCATTCTGCCTGCTTATGTCCTTTAAATATTTGCGAATATCATTTCTAATCAGGCATCAAGATGGATAACTATCTGTATTTAATACGAAATATTATATATGTGATTTGGATTCATTTTGAACCTGTGAATTTGTAAATGGTTTGAATTTATTAATCTTATTCATCTAATATGTTATTCATTGTGGGTTTAACTTTCTACTATCAACTTGGATATTTTTTCCCTAATAGATTCTATTTATTGTTATTTGTTGATAATATTATCATTGTTACCTACAACATATGTGCTATGAGTACTAAATTGCTTAATTTTTGTTTACCAATTCCTTTAAATCATATCTTGTATAAATCTCTATAAGATTTCTGAAATGGTTGATTGAATTGATATTAATTTTGAATTACATTTGAATAATATATAAAAGAAAACGAGAGAATGATGTTGATCGAGGTTAAGTAAGTTAGGTAGAATGCCCAGAAAATCTTAAACTTCAAATTTTAGTTAAAATGTCTTTCTAATAATTCTCAATAAATATAAACTTCTGCTATAAACTAAATGAACTATGGCTAGGCTTCAGTCAATAGCTGGTCTCCTAATAATACACGACCTAAAAGCGGATTGAGGTGTAAGGAGGCTTATACGTGGTATGGTTTGAATGGAAGATGTAAAGATGGAGACTCAAAAGGCAAAGCCTAATGAGATACTTCCTAACAGCCAAGATGTTGGCAATGCTTCAATGCTTTAAAACCAATAAAAAACAAAGGGAAAAAATGCTTCTACGTCTGAAATTGCTTCTTCCTCATGGTGGAACAAAGTGGTCAATCATGATAAGTTTTATAACTCGGATGGTTCATCTCCTCCCGTTCACGAGTTTGTATCTCAACTAATGAAGTCCCAAATATACTCTTTTTGTATAAATCCATTAAAATTATAAAGATCACAATTTTATATTTTTGTTTAGGCTAACTAAAATAATGGAGTGATAGCCCCTGCGAAACAGGGCCCCTTCGCTAGTAACTAATTATTTTGATTAGAAGAGATTATACTAATTTTTAGAGATTTTTACATACAAGTCCTTGTTACAGCCAATTGAATGGTGGCTCAGTAGGCAAGTTAGCTGGGTAGTTCCAATAGAGACGTGGAATCGAGTCCTGCTATTATCACCTACATTGAAAAGTTAGTCTTGATAACTAAAAAACTAATTGCAAGCAGAATTTGATCTAAGCCTTCGGCTACGACTAGCAGTAAACCTTATCAACCAGCCAATTGACACCTTGAAACCCCCTAAACCACCTTGTGCCAGTTGGTGGAACAGACAGGAATGTGAAATATAGTTTTGGTGGGTTCGGATCTTCTACGCTTTTTTTTTCTGTACCTTTTCACGGCTCCTCCATTCAGTTTGTGACAGGTATTATATTACACTAGTAAATATTTGCACTTGACAGTATCTTCAAGATAAAATTATTTACAATTTATGGGCAGTTTTTGAACAATTATAAGTGGGCAGTTTTTTGTGTGAGAATAAAGGACGTATATGCCCTCTTTTATGCCCGTTGTATGCTGCTTAGATAAGGAATAAAAAATGTCCAATAAAAATTCCAAAAAAAATGGACATTCACTCTTTAATAGATAATATAGATCTGTGTCCTCATATGGATGTATATGAACAGAAAAAGGGAAGGTGGAAAGTATAGTCTCAAAAAATGAAAAAAAAATGTTGTTACAAAAAGAATGACTAGCGTAGTTGACATCTCATAGATTTCTTCTGTGCTTATTTTAACCAACTAATATAAGTTGATGTACATGCAATAATTCCATAAACAGATACATAATGATATCTAAAATTATAAATTAAATTCCTTATGAATTATAAATTGATCTCTATATATCAAATTGGTTCCTCAAAATGGTATAAGATTGTGGAAGTTATTTATTTAGAAAACATTAATTATAAAAGGTCCTATTAAAGACCAACAAAGCAAACAAATAAAAGAATTAAAAGGAAACAAAAAGATCTGGCCATGGAGAGATCGAATCAAACGACCTGGTAATTCTACTAGGTATATGCGAGAGCCTGTACATGATCATTCCGTAGTTTGAAAGCTTTGTCTACCGTGGTATTGTTGAGACACTAATCTTGTGTGATCTAGTACCCTCCATCCCTTTTGGACAATCACAGAACCTATCAACACATATTAATAATTTCAGAATGAAATAAAGTATATTTAAAATTCGAATACATATTAAGGTGAAACCTTCTTCCTTTTAGTTTATTCTCTCTCTATTTTTCCTCTTAAGGCGTTGACTGGTTTAATAAACCCAGCACAAGTTTATTTTATTTAAATGATATTTTAAAAGAAATGAAAAAAACTACTCTAGGGTGTGTAATTGACTGGTTTCAATTTTTTTTTTTATTTCTTTTGATGCAACAAGGGTAGCCCATCTTTCAACTCATAACCCCCAACCCAAGTGTAGGTGGGACTCGATCTCAAGTCTCCACTATGACAAACAAGAGACCTTACCAACCAAATGGTTGGCACCTTGATTATATTTCAAATTTTCTATTCATATGAATTAATACTTTAAACCCTTCCAATCTCGTTTTTGAAATTGTTTTATTTTCCAAATTTACACTTTATATCAATAATCAATGGTAAAGGTACAACTTCAAATTCTCTTTTTTTAATTGTTTATAAAGTTTGTATTGTTTTTTATGTAGAAGTCAGCCTTAACAATAACTGTATGGATATTTTGGATATTCTCATATCTCTTTTTAGACAATTCTAATATAAGAGATCTATTGTAACTGTATCAAAAAGTTTAGAGGGTAATTGCAATTACCAAATTTTAGAGGAAATTTTGATAATTTATCCTTTTATATTTATATATGATTAATACAAATTAACTTCAAGGTGGGGAATAGTTTTATATGAGTAAATTGCTGAAACTTTCCCTAAATTTCCAAATTTTGTTTTTTTTTTTTTTTAAATTTCTTTTGATGGGCTACACAACAAGGGTTGACATCTTTCAACTCATAACCCCCCAACCCAAGTGTAGGCGGGACTCGATCTCAAGTCTCCACTATGACCAACAAGAGACCTTACCAACCAAATGGTTGGCACCTTGATTATATTTCAAATTTTCTATTCATATGAATTAATACTTTAAACCCTTCCAATCTCATTTTTGAAATTGTTTTATTTTCCAAATTTACACTTTATATCAATAATCAAAGGTAAAGCTACAACTTCAAATTCTCTTTTTTTAATTGTTTATAAAGTTTGTATTGTTTTTTATGTAGAAGTCAGCCTTAACAATAACTGTGGATATTTTGGATATTCTCATATCTCTTTTTAGACAATTCTAATATAAGAGATCTATTGTAACTGTATCAAAAAATTTAGAGGGTAATTGCAATTACCAAATTTTAGGGGAAGCTTTGATAATTTATCCTTTTATATTTATATATGATTAATACAAATTAACTTCAAGTTAGAGTAATTAAAATCGAACTCAAACATAAACTGTTGAATTAAAGCTCGATTCAATTGCACCCCACCAAATATATTTAGGGATGACCATTAATAAATAGAAGACTACAGCTTACCAATTGCATTGGTCATTGAGTAGTGTTTGCCGAGTTATACCTGTCATGCATGAAGCTAAATAAATAAATAATTGAAATAAATCATGAGAACATCTTCCGGTGTTGTCTCATCATTCCTTATATACACGGCTGAGATATGTACTGAAGGCTGAGATTTCTAAAATAATAAAATAAAATAATGAAGACGACGATGGAAATAAAATATCAAACTTACGAAATAGATGCTTGCATGAAATTGAGGCATTGATGTTACTTTCCACCAGAAATTGGTCCATAGTTCTTCTGAACTCTTCGTTTGTGTAAGTAACCCTACGTCCTTCGCAAAGTGCAGTAAAATAAATGTTGGGTATATGCTTCACTCGCTTATGCTCATGTTCAACATCATTTGGACAGAGAATCATCCTCTCCAACTGTTCCGGCATGTCGATCAAATTAAGATCCTTTAGATTTGTGAGATGTTCGATTCCTGAAGGCAGAATCTTCAATTGCCCACATGACCGAATTACTAGCTCTTCAAGAACAGGCATTGCACCTTTCGCTACCGTCACAGAATTCAATCTGTCAAAGTTGCAGATGTCTAGTTCCTTCAGTTTTCTAAATCCATTTGCCTCAAAATACAGATCTTCTGCATCAGATGTTCGACTGAGAAAGAGCTTCATTAGATTAGGCATTGTCTGAAGCACTCTAATGGGGTCATCTCTTAACATTGAAGACTGCAAACCTATGTAGACTAGGCTATGGAGTGAAGTAATCCAGCTCGGCAATCTCTCTAGGCGCCCTACTAACCACAAAAGCTGAAGCATCAAAGGAGGAGAGGACATGGAATGCAAATCAAGAAGCTCATCCTCGTGTATGGAAATTGCACGCAGGGTCCGGAGATCATTCATCTTTTCGAGGGAGGCACATAAACCTTTTCCATGCTGTCTTCTTAGCTTTGTAATGCCTAAATTTCTTAGTTTGGTCAAGTTTCCCAACTCTCTAACTATGCGAGTTCCATCTTCATCTGCTTCAATTACTTCTAGCTTTTGCAGAGCTGTTAGCTGCCCTATCCCCTTGTTCATCATCACCCCCTGCAACCCAATTCTGTGAAAGGAATAAGCAAAAAGGTGCCGCAGGTGTCGAAGCTTTACTGTATGTACAGGCAGCTTATTCACAAATGTATTTCTAAGGTCCAATACTAAAAGATTTCTTAAGTTACTCAAGGAGTTAGGAAGCACTCTGATCTTTGTGTTCTTCAAACTCAAATACCTCAAATGAAAGAGACTTACAATTTCATCGGGAAAACTTTCCAAAGGAGCATCCTGTAAATCCAGTACTTTTAGTAGTTTGAGGTCACCCAGAAGCCTGTGCACACAGTTCCCCTTCTTCAGATTTTCTACCCCGAACATGAAAAGAGATCGAAGATGGGAGACATCTGTTTTTTTCCAATTGGAAACATCACCACAGCTATGGTGAACCGATACTCGGCGGGGGCTCTGATGAACAAAATATAAATCCTGCTTGATGGTAACTTTACAAAACCTCTCCTCTTCAGACTTTGAGATACTGATCTCACGCAAGAGATCATGGACACGGCAGCTTCTTACCCGGCCATCATGATACAATTCCATGGCCTGAAGCATGTTCCTCTGGATGAGTTCCCTGAGATACGACTCAGCAACATCTTCTAAACTTTTACCTCTTGCTTCCTTGACAAATCCTTCAGCTATCCATAACCGGATGAGTCTCCCACATTTGATGATATAGTTTTCAGGAAAAATACCCAAATATAAGAAACAAGATTTCAGGTGGAATGGCAGATCATTATAACTCAAAGACAAAATTCTTGTCATGGGTGTGAGCATGATATTAGTTTCTAGCTCATGACCAATACTATCATGCAATTTCTGCAATTCAAAAGCACTTTGGGTTTTCCTTGAGAAAAGCCCACCTATAGTTACAATTGCAAGAGGCATCCCTTCACATCTCTTTACAATCTTATGAGACAACTCCTCTAGCCCAAGAGGACAGTTATGCTCCCTAAAAGCTTTCATGCAGAAAAGCTTCCAGGAATCTCCAAATGGTAGTGGTTTCAGGTTATAAACATGACTAAGTGATTCTACACAGTAAGAAGCTACCTCATGGTTTCGTGTTGTAAGCATGATTCTACTACCACAGTTATTACAAGGCAAAGCGTGCTGTATGGAGTTCCATGGATCCATGTTCCAAACATCATCAAAGATGACTACAAACTTCTTGTGCCTTAAGAACTCCCTTGCCTTGTCAATCAAATCGATTTGCTCCATTGTGTCCATTCTGTCGATCTGTGACTCCTTTCTTGCTTCACAAAATTGCTTCAGCATGGCCCTTAATAGATCTTGGACTGCAAAAGACTTGGATACAGTTACCCAAGCGCGGAATTCGAAGTGGGTAGTCACCTTCTCATCATCGAATACCTTCTTGACGAGCGTCGTCTTGCCCAGTCCGCCCATGCCAACCACAGCAAATACCAGACGCCGTGATTCTCCTTCGACCAACCAACGCACCAATTCGTCTCTCGGCTTGCCTATGCCCACAATTTGATCCTCTTCCATGTAAAGAGAAGCTACTCGAAAGTCAGTTCTTGTATGGTTCCTAGAGACATTGGAACTCGACCCTTGGATTGAACTTCTTAATTGATACCTTTCACTTCTCTCCTTTATTTCACGGATCCTCACTTTAAATTCTTCTATTTTTGTGCCAAATTCATGGCGTTGACTCAGTTCCATGAAAAGGCAAACAGATTTACGAATAAAGCAGATGAATTTATGATTCTGAACCTGTAATTTTCGATGATTGAATTCGTCCAGGACATCTTCAATGTCGTACGCCAACTCTCTCACTTGACTTACCCAAGCATTCACTACCTTGTGGCAGTCTCCCCCCACCTCTGATGCATCCTGTAAGAAGGACTCCACGCTTTCAAGTTCTTCTTTTATGTATTTGATGCCTCTCCCAACCCCACTCAACAATCTTGCTTCTTCAACAATCAAGGACTGTAACTTGTCAATAAGAAAGCTTAAAGCACCGTCCGCCATTTCCACTCAACAAACAAATATTCAGTCTCTCAAACAATAAAAACTAGATGAATATCGAGTCTTTTACCGTTGTAATTTGATCTTTTGTTCCCGTGACGAATGTTATAAATGGCGCCTACTGTCAACAACCACAAGTGGGGGACAAGGCGTCTACAACGGGCTAGCTATAATATTCATGGAATCGATAAAAAAATAAAATAAAATCCATCATGACATATGGCTTGGAAAAAAAAAGAGGGTTTGATGTATCAATCGAATCGGATGAACGGCAGACAAAATCATACACAGGGGACCAGAAAACCTACCAGGCTATCACAAATGAATTCACATGGTCAATCCCAATAATGCTCATAGTCAATGGTCATAGTCATAATGGATTGAGGCCACACCTACGTGGAATCTCCAAGTGGAAAATTGAGATAGGTCATCCAGTGTGAACAACTATGGGCCCTAGAGTAGATTTTAATGGTCGGAATAGAAGTCGAAATACAAGTAATATGCTTGTATCAATCAAATCCATCAAAGACAAAGCAATGATATAATGGCCAAAATTCATCAAAATTCATCAAATCAATACAAATTTTATGAGAATATATATTTTTTCTATTACAAATTCAGTGTTTGTGTTTCTTTAGAAAACATCCAATTTGGTGTTTATATCATAAATGTCAACACCCAATCCTTATGTCTATATTTTTTTAGTGGAAATAGTTATCTGATGTGATCTGATAAGATAATTTTTCAAAAATTTATATTGTTCAACCAAAAACATCACAATTAAAAGTGTCAATGATACCAAACACAACCTAAATGACCAATTCATCATCCATGGTTGTACTCTCCTAAGTCCTGATCCCTGAACAAGCATGGCTGGATGATTCACAGCCCCTGATGTTCTCTTATACAGAAAGCAAGGTGGTGGTTGAAAAGTTCCATCATAGATCTATAGCATTCAGCCTCTATTGACTTGAGAAGTTCAAATATCCATTTTTTGCTTTTAGTAAAACTTTCTCTCTCTAGAATTTTTCCCAGACCACACAACGGGTAAAGCAGGTTTTAAGGGCCACACTTAATTAACGAGTGGGAGAAGCATGATTAGAGTCAAATTTTGTGCATGTCAAGTACAGTTCAATCTCAAAAGTATAATTCTTGAGCCCTGTAGTAGGAGGCCCTACAAAAATCTTCAAATAAGATGTAAGTGTTAAGATAATGATGAAGAGTCTTTGACGTGTTGGAGTTCGGGAACCTATCCTGTTATTTCATCAGTTAGTTTCTTTGTTGTACTCCGTGTTTATCATATAGAAGTTGATTGTAATCCCAACTCCTATTCAATGTATATAAATAGACACCAGGGCCGAATCATGATCAACAGGTTTTTCCCATTCTATTAGTTTATGTCATTTGTTTCCTCTCTGTTATTTCTTTATCTTGGTATCAGAACCAACGTCCTCATGGCCTCTTCTAGAGATTTTTCTCTTGCATCAAAGTAGGTGAGCTCGACTGTTGATAACTCCACTGGGCTGCCCCAGCTTCCAAACATCACCCACTACATCCCAGTGAAGCTAACTAGCGAAAATTATCTGTTGTGGAAGAACCAGTTTCTTCCTATTCTCTATACCCATAAGCTGATGGGTATTATCGATGGCTCCATTTCCAGCTCTGCCCAAGGAGATCGTTGATCCCAGTGATCCATCGAGAAGTATTCCAAATCCTACCTTTAAGAGATGGTTCCAACTTGATCAGTTAGTACTCAGTTGGTTGATCTCATACTTGACCGAAAGCATTATGGCGCAAGTTGTTGGACTACGGTCTTCTCAAGAGGTTTGGAATGTTCTTTCCAAATCTTACTCGACTCTCTCTCGCTCCAAAATCCTTCAACTCTGATGCCAGTTACAATCATTGAGGAAAGTTATGCTCACTGTTAGTGATTATGTACATCGTGCTAAATCTATTACAGATAACTTGACTACTATGGCAGAACCGATCTTGCCAAGAGATCTCGCCATGCATATTTTGTGCGGCTTAGGCTCAGAATACGAGTTTGTTGTCAGTGTTGTCACCAATAGATCTGATATGGAGCAATTGGACGTCGATGATGTGATCGGGATCCTGTTGAACCATGAGGCGCTACTCGAACAACGTAGCAGTACTGTCACTGATCACACTTCACCCACAGCCAGTAGAGATGGTTTATATTGCTTCCCAGATTCTTCATCAAATAAGTCTCCTTCAGTGTTGGTTGGTGAAAAAGTCTCAGTTGATGATTGGCATCGATGGCTTGGACATCCGGCTCTTCGGGTTGTGAGGCAAGTCTTGTCTAAGTATGGTTTACCTTACAGTGGTCAGTTTAGACGACAAGCAGTATGTGAGACTTGTCAATTAGGAAAAAGTCGCAAGTTGTCATTAGCATCTTCTATTTTCGAGTCCAAAAGACCTCTGGAGTTGGTTTTCTCAGATGTTTGGGGACCGGCTCCAGTTGAGTCTCAACAGGGTTTCAAATATTATGTAGTGTTTGCTGATGATTTTAGTAGATTCTCCTGGATTTTTCCCATGTGTAATAAATCAGAAGTTTATGATATTTTTGTAAATTTCAAGAGACATGTTGAAGTCATGTTTGATGCAAAAATCAAAAATTTCCAATCAGATTAGGGAGGAGAGTACAAAAGACTCTCTAAATTGCTTGACGAATGTGGAATTAATCACGGACTTACTTGTCCTTACACCCATGAACAAAATGGCACTGTTGAAAGGAAGCATCGACATATTATAGAATCAACACAGTCTCTAGTGGCCACCTTGTCTCTTCCCTTTAGTTTGTGGGCCAATGCGGCTATCATGGCTACTTTTTGGATTAACAGACTCCCAAGTCCCATGATTGGCGGTAAATCACCATATGAGAAGCTTTTTGGAATGACTCTAGATTACAAAATGTTGAAGATCTTCGGTTGTGCATGCTATCCACTCTCCCACAAATAAGTTCAACTACCGATCTATGAAGTGCATCTTCTTGGGTTACAGTGACAAACACAAAGGCTATAGGTGCTACCACTCTCCCAGAGGTCGAGAATACATTTGCAGACATGTCATATTCGATGAGGTGACCTTTCTAGGCATTCCTAACCATGCCAAGCTAGATAATGTCTCCTCGGTGGAGCATAATGGCGTTTTTATTCAGGGACCTGCACACATCTCTTGACCCACCACTACAGCTGTCCCAGATCTGCAACACCATACCACTAAAGTTGCTTCAGATCTACGCATGTTGTACTCTCCTGATGAACCATCCAGCACCAACAATCTGAGGCACATGACAACAAGCCCATTAATAGGCCCATGAGCGAAACTGGCATCTCTCCTTCTCCTATCTCCCATGCTGAGTCGTCTACATCACGTCGGCGTACACGGCTTGTACAGGATTTACTGGATGCGACTAGACCAGTTCCACAACCTAGCCGCAACCACCGCATGGTCACAAGGTCAATGGATGGCTCACTTCCAAGGCAGACCAGCACTGCAATCAGGTACCCATTACCAAATGCCTTAGTTGCACAATTAAATCCTGGTTCCAAAGAGCCCACTACCTTTTTTGAAGCCTCAAAACACTCTCATTGGCGTGATGCAATGAGAAAGGAGTATGCAGCTATAGTGAGAAATAATACATGGAGATTGGTGCCTAGAAAACCCAACATGAACATTATTGGTACAAAATGGGTCTTCAAAATAAAACACAAGCCAGATGGTCCAGTAGAGAGATACAAGGCATTTTAGTTGCCCAAGGTTTTTCTCAAGTTCCAGGAGTGGATTTTTGTGACACTTTCAGCCTAGTAGCAAAACAATTGACCATTCACACATTGCGTGCCCTTGCCGTTTCTCAACAATGGTGCATTCGCCAACTGGATTTTGATAATGCCTTTTTAAATGGGTTCATTGAATAAGAGATTTATGTCCAATAGCCCAAGGGGTTTGAACACTCCCAATACCCCTCACATGTATGCAAGTTTGACAAGGCTCTTCATGGGCTTCGCCAAGCACCGCGGGCCTAGTATGCCTGCCTTACGTCCCACTTACTTGCCATTGGCTTTCAGTGCTCAATCAAACCCCTCATTGTTTGTGTACTCTAAAGATGGGGTTCGGATCTACATGTTCATATATGTAGGTGATATACTCGTTATAAGCAATATGTCTCAAGCCATTGAAGTGTAGTTTCCAAACTTGCTACTGTCTTCTCATTAAAGGACTTGGAACCTAACCGTTATTTCTTAGGCATGGAACTTATTCATAGAAATCTGGTCTGCTTCTCTCACAAAAAAGTTATATTTTTAATCTACTACAAAGGGCTCATATGGTCCATGCCAAACCTATTCTTCTCCAATGGCGGCCAATAGCAAACTTTTCAAAGTTAGTGGAACATCCTTGAAGGACCCTACTGAATACAGGAGTGTTGTTGGGGCTCTACAGTATGTTACTACTAGGTCTGATATAGCATTCGTGGTAAATAGGGTGTGCCGGCTTCTTCACACACCGACAATTGATCATTGGGCTGCCGTAAGGCATATACTGCGTTACTTGAAAGGCACCATTGACCATGGGCTTTTCTTCGCTTCCAACTCATGCCCATTATCTATTCAGGCATTTTTAGATGCCGATTGGGCGGGGTGTCCGGATGACAAGAGATCCACAAGAGGATATGCGATATTCCTAGGCCAGAACTTCATAGCTTGGAGTTCCAAGACATAGGCAACTGTGGCACGGTCTAGAACTAAATCAGAGTTCCGAGCATGTGTCAACACTACCATTAAGATCTTATGGTTGAAAGCACTTCTTGATGATCTAGGGATTCGACTACCCCAAGCACCAACGATCTGGTGTCATAATATTGGAGCAACCTTTCTAGCATCCAATCCTATTTTTCATGCCAGGACATTACATGTAGAAGTAGACTTCCATTTCTTGTGGAACTTGGTACTTAACAAAAGGATTCAAATGTAGTTTGTATCCTCAGGAGATCAGGTAGCAAGCGAGTTCACCAAACCACTCGGTGAGATGAGTTTCCAGTGGTCTAAATTCAAGCTTCATGTTCTAGTAGATAGTTCACTTGAAGGGGGCATGTTAAGATAATGATGAAGAGACCTTAAGGTATTGGAGTTCAGGAACCTATCATGTTATCTCATCAGTTAGTTTCCTTGTTGTACTATGTATTTAATGTTAGACAGTTATGCCCTTAGCTCCAATTAGATTGATGTATCTTTTGACATTTATTGTAAATGAATAAAGTACATAATTGATTCATGTCATTATGGTGTGTTTCTGTGTAATACCCTTAAACTGGACACTTAATGAGACTCGTGTTAGTTTAGAATCTTCACAGCCGTTGGATAGATCCGGGGCGATTTATCCTGCCAAGGCTGACACTGATGTATCACCAAGTTGGTTGGGGTGACTTGTCTCAGCTACAAGGCTGAGACCTGAGGTACATGTAGTGTGGGTTTTCTTGGAGATAGATGGGCAAAACTGGAATGTTACACCTAACCCCTAGACTCGATTATGGTACTGCACTAGGTGTCGGATCGAGCTGTCTTTTATATGCCAATCAGTGAGATCCTTAGAGGGGGTCAAAACCTAGGTATGTTGGGACAGTCCGAGAATTCATCTCAGTGGGTGATCATAGTGACAAGATCAGCCCCTTTGTCAGACAAAGTGAATGGTCGAGGATGCACTCTCTCCGATGGAAACCTAAACTGTCGGTAGTTGATTTCAACCGTTTTGCAATATATATATATATATATATATATATATATATATATATATATATATATATATATATATATATATATATATATATATATATATATATATATATATATATATATATATATTATGGTTTCAAAATGTTTGTAAAAAGGTTTTAATTCCTAGGATCCATGTGAGTAGAGAGTACAACATTGTTCCTTGCAGCCGAGGGAGAGGTTCTCTCTTGTCGGGTAGTGTTTGATCATTATGGGCTAAGAGGTTAAGTGTAAGACCATTGAGTGTAATACCTGATGGGCTAATCTTGCATCTGCCCATAGTCCTTGGGTATTCATAAGGTGGCTGGACCCAAGGACCATTTAGTGTAAATGTTGGGCCCATTAAGAGACCATGGTGATGGACTCAAGGGTTCATTGTGTCCTACAGTGAATTCGGCCAGGCCTTGTAACAAAGGTTGGGTTGAAACCATGTGGCTGATGTATAGATCAATGTTTGGGTCCCATGACATACAAAGAGAGCCAACTGGGCAGCAGGTTAAGAGGTTAAGTGAGCACATAAACTTAATGGGCCTAAAGCCCAATTCGAGCTGAGTTAATTAGATTAATTAAATAGGAGCAGATCTAGATTTGGATCAGCAGATAAGCATAAGAGGATAAGTCTTATCCACTTAAAGAGTCTAGATCCAAATAAAGATTTGGATAAGGAAACTCCTAATTTGATTAGGATTAAGCTGATCTTAAACTATAGATAAGATAAAGGATTAACTTTATCACTTAAAGAGTCCAGATCCAAATAAAGATTTGGATCAGGAAACTCCTAATCAGATTAGGAGGTTGTCTCTTTAAGGCTATAAATAAGAGAGCAAGGAGGACATGCAAAAGACACCAGACAAGACACAGAAAAGTGCAGAGTTCTTCCCTATTCTTGCCGCCCCTACCCAGTTCAATCTCTATTTGTGGGAGTGATCAAGAATTGTTCTTGATATTGCTTCTTGGCAGAAGAAGCAATCTAAAGTCGTGCTCACCAGCCCTCTACTCCATTCTTGCTGAAGAATTCGGTTCTTGCTAAAGAGTCGTCCTACTGATCCTTTTCACCTCACACTGTGTCATCTTCAGTGGAAGCAGTTTTTGGTTTTCTCCTTGGGTGTGAACACCTTCATTGGGAGTTACTGCTACTCCATATCAGGTATATCCCTCTCCTCCCTTTTGGTTTCAGATCTGGTCTACTTTAGTTCAAGATTGATCCTTGAAAATGCAGTTTTCTAAAATAGGGAATGCGATTCCCAAATGGGAGAGAGAAATTTTTGAAATTTCGCCCAACCCTCCTACAGGGTTCGGCCATCCATATGAGGGATCTCTTATTCCTTCAGTGGTATAAGATCCAGGTTCAAATCTTGAACCGAATTAAACCATATATGAATCTACGCAAATGGGCAGAAGGCATTCTACCTGATTTGCACAATTAGCGTTTTTTGGGAAATCGGTTCCTAGTTTTTGGGTGAATGACCTGAAATTAAATCTTTATGATTTATATTTAGAATTGTTCTATATATTTTTCTTGGATTTGGGTTGTTCATATGGTGGAGATCGAATTCTTTTATTGGCACAAGAAATCTACGCACCTGTTGATTTATTCTATTCATTCTTGGTCTGTAATTAATTTTATTTTTTTAATTTTTAGACGGAATGTATAGGAATTCGAATATGATGTAATATTAAAAGAAAATTAGGTTTTCTATTTTATTTCATTTAAAAATGAAGCAAAAACCGCAAATGAGAGAATTTCTTAGATTCGGGTTCAGCGATCTGTGATTTGCAGTTTTGGAAACTGCATACTACAAACTGATCTTTGTTTTGTAGGGTAACAGTCTTACGAACAGCCCTCTTACTGATTCTTGGTTGTCATGTATCAGTTGTTTAATTTCATATCATCTTCTTGAATTGAATATTGAATTAAACATCAAACCCTAGACCCATTCGAACTAGATTGGACCAAACTTGTTGGACCGAATCTATGGTTCGATGGGGGCTGTTTTCAGCCCTAAAATTTCCCATATGGCTCGAGGGATTGATGGTTAATTGCAAGATACAATTTGGCCCACATCTGTAAAACCAGTTTTAATCTGTTAAAACAGCTTTAGCCCAATTCAGCATAAATGCAATATGGGTCGAACTGCTCTTCGCAGTTCAGCCCATATACCTAGATAATATAGAGCAATTCGGCCCATATACCTAGATAATATTAATTGGTAATATTATGGAATTAAAATGAGCTTTATTTATGGGTTTTACAGTTATTTAATTGATTGGATCAATTATCGATTTCATGCATGTGATGTATGGATGTGTGATGTGCTACGTTCATGGGCCATAAGCACTTAGCCCATGCTAACGATAGTGGCTCTTTCGCACACCATGGCTGAATGCACATCATTACCATGGCATCCTTAAGATTATTGGATGATCTCTCTACGTGGTGGGCCCTACACTAGCTTCCTCCCCAAGAGGAACCGTGCAGAACCCTAGCCGTTTAGATCCCATCTAAATCTGGCTTTATGAAAGTCAGTGGGAGCCACTTTGATTTGACCTAAATTAAACTAAGGCGTAACTACTCGTTCCCTCCTAAAAATATAAGTGCATGTAATAGGGAGATTTATATGATGAAACTCTCTAAAGGCCTTCCATCATTAGTATGAAGGTTGGTTGTATTGGTGGGTGGAGATGCACCATAAAATTGGGTTATCCATCTGTTAATGCAATCAGCTGAATTACTTCATAAGATGATAGGGGCATCATAGACCGATGTGGAAAGGGCCTATCCTAAAATGAAAGACTCTCTAATGGTACCTTGGCGTTCATGAACATGATGGGTGAGCACTTACTGAATAGAAAGTTCAACCTAAAATGGCTATGAACCTTGTCTGATAGAGGTCAAAGGGAAAGCTCATAAGATGAGTGGATAAGATCCTTCACAGAAGGTGGTGGGGTTTTGTAGCTGAAACAGTTGGCACCATGCACCCCATGTGGTTTTCCACATTTCCAAAGACATAACTGTCTCCATCACTAAGATTGGAGGGAATCTCAGAGATGCCCAAAATGGAAATTGAACATAGATTAAAAACCCTTTCTATGTGATGACATGAATCAATTAGGTTATGGACTTACAAATCTGTCTTTCCTTTACCAAAAATGGCAAATGGAAACTTCACCAAATTTTTGGATGATAACAAACTCAAGGGCCCTAATTATGCTGACTGGTTCTAAAAACTTATGTTGGTTCTGATGTCCGAGAAATTGGACAAAATTGCTAAGAACCCTGCTCCGGATCGTCTGGATGACAGGGCTTCTGAGGCTTAAAGAAAAGAGTATCAAGAATGGAAAGAGAAAAACTTACCCGATATCCTGTTTAGACAGTTCGATACAGCGACAATTCGATAAGATCGAAGTGTCCAAGGATATATTGGATAATCTGAAGACTATGTATGAAGAGCAGAACCGTTCTACTTGACAAAAGGTCTTAAAATTGTTTATGACCGCATAGATGACCGAGAGTCAACAGGTTCATGACCATTGCCTAAAGATGATGGGTTATATCAATGAACCAGAGGCTCTCAGGTCAGGGCTAGATCATGACACCAAAATTGATGTTGTCCTCAATTCCTTACCGCCGTCCTTTAATCAGTTTATCATGAATTACAACATTAATAAAATAAAAGTTAGCCTTCAGGAACTTAGCAATATGTTGCAGAAGGTTGAAGAACTGATTAAGAAGGATAAGTCGATAGCCATGCTTATTGAAGGTGTCAAATCAGGCAAGAAAAAGCATAAGGCTAAAAGGAAGGCTTAGAAGAAGGGTAGCAAAACTAAAAAGTAGAAGAAGAATAAGGCATCGGATGCCTGTCACTTCTGCAAACAGACCGACCATTGGAAGAGGAATTGTCCTCAATATTTGGAGACTAAGAAATAAGGTAATTTTGAATCTTTTATCAT